AAACGAAATTCTAACATGATCCGAGTGAAATAGAGATGAAATAAACTTTTTTAAGTTTATGAATTACAGGAGATTTTATAAGTGCAGTTAATCTATTACGACAAGTAGAACTTAACAGAGAATAGACACAACAAAGCCCCGAAAACTTTAAACATTAAATTGGTTTGGGTTCTTCCTGCGTATTTGTTACTGTTCCCATGCCAAAAATTGAGGCCCCTAAATTTGTCCACGATCTACATACAGTTACATAGGACTTGTCTTAGGTGCACTGCTATCATGTCTGTGAGCAATTTCTCTTTCACTGGCAGGCACGTGCTATACTACAAAGCAGAAAAGGTGTACGCGTTTGTGTTCACGAAATGAACAGATCAGATAACAAAGTCATTTTCCCCATCCCACACAATCGGCATTGCGTCACATTGCTTCGGCCTCCGTCAAGTAATTTACTATTTTAGCGCGCGAAAATGATCTGCTTAGGTCAAATGTTATTGTGCACAGCACCCGTAACATGTGACATTCTGCCAACCACTCTCGACGAATAAACGCTCTGGCCTTTGGTGTTAAAAAAGTCAAAGTGGGAACACATCGTAGACTTATGTGAAAGAATGTTGCGGTAAGTTTTCGCGTGGCCGCAGAAGAAAAAAGTCCAATGGGAACAGGGCCTAGTATCCATCTCAGAAATGCAGCATTACAGATGTATCCCTCTACACTATTGGGAATTTTAATTAGGAGGAGCCAACTTAACTATCTGTCTGGTAAGAAAGCAGCTTCACAATAAACATCTTTAGAGTTCAGAAACACCAAGTCACCAAGTTCAGCTACTCCCTTTATATTTCTGGGTTAAGTCTAGTTTTCTGACCATGCAACAAAACCAAGCATCTTTGAAAAACAAACTGTCATGCCTGATATGGACTTAAGTCATCCCTTCAATGTCTACATGAAAAACAAAACTCAAAGACATGGAACAGAAATCACAGGCAGTAACAGAATGACAATAGATTTATTTTACCCAATAGCAGTAGGGATAGCCATAGTAGCGCAGTGTAGGATGAGGTGGGGGTTGCGGAATGTTGGAGTCCAATGGAGAGTACCACATTGTAATCAAAACACCTTGCAGCTGTATGTCAGGTTCCCCGGTTAGCAACTATCAAGTCCGATAATGCTCTGCAATCTAAAGCTAAGCCCTATAAGCAGCATACATGACACTCAACTTGAGTGAGATGTGTTTACTATCATTCACAACATGCACTCACTACTATAACAGGTTGCGAAACTTTGCTAATTTCAGAACTTACAAAGGGTCAACCTATTTAAATAGGGGTGTCAATTGCTTGTGGCAGGCATTTGTCTGTTCTCCTTCAAATGATCACTATAAATTCACACATTATTGATGCTTTATGGCAATCGTTTTTGGGAACAATATACTTGGTTATCCTTTTAGAATGAAACTTTGCAATCTAAAAACCTCTTTTTGAGTATTTTCAACTGGGGGAAAGTGGTACATTCCCAGTGATAAAGCACCCTACACACCTGCACCTGTAACTTTCATTTCCTCCTAGATTCAGTAAGCGAAACAGGAAAATAGAACAACACTTGTCCCAAGTGATCTGGATAACTAATTTCCTACTCTTTAAACACAAACACGCATACAAACACGAGCACACACCACACATGTTATCCACTAACATTCTGCAGACTTCAGGAAATTAAAAGCAGGCCAGGTTCAGGCTGAGTTTTCCCAAAGTCAAACCTTAGAGGAAAGTGGAGCTGTTGGCTAGGAGGTTGGGGACCCAACAGAGACAACATTATTACTCTACTCATTGAGTGGGACTTAGCCAATGATAGTAAGCTATTTGCAGTACAGGTCCCTTAACAATTATGGTAAGAAAGAGTTTTATAATTATGAAAATCTCAGCAAAGTGACTGAGGTTGGTGTTCTTCATATTAGGTTATTTCCAGGGTTACTCGCATTACAAGTTTTTAAAATTCTATACCATACCAAGTGGAGTGGTCTTCGTATTAGTTGGATTCCCCCCTCCCCTTTTACATAAACATAACATTTATTCAAGGTTCTTCCCCGATGACAAAAAAATGTTCTCTGTTCCCTCATTTTAGCGTGGCACTCTTTGGAAATGTGGTTACTCACATTTCACAAAGAGACATGGCAGGAATTGTCTTTCTTTTAATTCAGTAGTTTACTTAGGGTGAAACTGCAATAACCAAATGAGTAGTTTTGACAGGATATATGGACAGTACAAAATATATACCAAAATCAGGTAAAGATGCTTGAAAGAAAGAGGCTAGTTACTTACATTACAGTTACTCGCATTACAGTTTTTCTGCCCATCTTTGGTACAAGTTCAAACATATAAGAAACTAATGTTCAAACAAAAACATCTTTTGGCATAAAATATTTTCTCTCTGGCTTAACAAAAACTCACAACACTTGCATTTTGTATATATAAACAAGGTGCCAAAATGACTATCTACATGTCAAATCCACAATAGCCTCCCAAAAACCAGTTCTGGACTAAAAATAAACTTACGTATATTCATCTCAGTGGCACATCACTCAAATGAAAGGTCTTGTCCTCCCCTTTATTTTGATAACACATTTGAGGTTGTGATACTTGTACTTCCTTAGATTTAATAAATTTTCCAATTTTCAGCCGTGTCCACTTTTGCATGGAATTGCCCATATATTTATGCATATTAAAAAAAAAAGATTATTAGTTAGTTGCATCAAGAGGTATGTAAGACAAACAATCACCCCCCCCCCCCCACACACACACACATATAACAAAAACAAACAATACCAAACCTTAAACTGAAAAACAAACATCAAAAACTGAAAAGATAATTGTTTGCTATTGGTAATTTTATTACTTTGGGCATCATTTGTAAAAAGAAAAATCAGTATTCTCACTGACGGAAGTCACAGCCAAGGTGGGCACAGGGGAAAGAGGACAAAATAAGATACAGAATGAGTGTATTATAGAAAATTCCCTTGAGACTGACCCGATAGATAGCTTATCCAATGATCACTGGACTGGAGTTGCTTGCAAGATTCCACACATATGAACACTGCAAATGCCTTAGATGATACCAGATAGCAAGAATGGGTGATTGCAAGTAGAGTAGTAGTCAGTTCCTTGGCTTCACCTCTCTCCCTCACCTACAGCGTTCCTAACCCCTCCCTCACACTTCCCCTGGTTAAGTGCCTGGAGACTTGACCAATAATTCAATTCCGTCTTTTCCCTCAACCAGGCATGTCAAATACTCTTGAGAATTATCAACTCTGCACAAACTTGACAGAATCTGGCAATTGTTTACAGACTGCAGGTTTTCTATTTTTCAGGGAGGAAATCAGGTTTGAAAGGAGTTATGAAAAGGGGAGGATGTAACTTGTGTTTAGTGCATATTAATAGAAGCTAACAGCGTCCCAGGGGTGGCCAGGTTTTCTCCATTTTGACAGATTGTTCCTTACCAAGCAAATTACGCTAAATGCTACATTTCCACTTTGGCATTCAGAGTTACTAACTGTGACAACTAAGCTTTGAAAAACAGGCACCCATGTTTAACATTAGATGTCTATCATCTAGAACTACATCACAATATTTGTCAATATGACTGCAAGTATCCTTTTTAATGCTTATGTTTCATTTTGCAGAATACTGAGGAAAAAAAATGTTTCCTTTAATCTATTCAGTTGTACTCCCTACAGTTGTTTTTATTTGTAGTTGATTGTAACCTAACACAGCCATGTGAACCTTATTACATTCCAGCAATGGAAATACGAATCCTATTTTTTGGGTGCCATGGGCTTAATCAATTGGGGCCTTCAGACACCGTTTTAAATTTGCTTAAAACACTAGTTGAACTCAACTTGGTGTGACTTTTCTGCTAAATGGTGTCTGAACGGTTTTAATGTTACACCGTCTCAACTTTATCTTGCTGCCAAAGCGGTAAGTTAAAACACCTAGAAGGGGTGTTGGGGGGTGTTGGAGGGGAGGGGGGGGGGTAGTGCTAACCAAGAATGGTTTTATTCAAATGATGTCTGAATGGTTTTTAGCTAAAACACTTCCTGTTTTAGCTGGCGCAGGCAGGCATGCATATGCTAGACGACTTTTTGCTATGATGCAACCTGTTTACATGCATACAAGTGCAAATATCATTTCTTGTGGTTTCACTGGTTTCACACATCCAACTTTTCCAGGAGAATTATTAGCAACAAGAAAGCATTTACATGTACTTAAAGGAAAAAGTCAGACGTATAATGCTTTAATAAAAAAAAAACCCGGAGAATTGAAGTCACGAAGGGAACCATGGTCCAACACAGTCTGTACGGTACTGCGTATGGCACGGTATCAGCGTGCATGGACTGCCATGTTTACCACTTGGGCTATGACGTCAACCACGGTGACGGAGAAGGGCTCCAGACTGTGTGCAACAAACTGGGCAAAGGACCAGGTGAAGGCTCATACACGGCACGGTGTGGGCCAAGGCGGAAGTTCTACGTGAACTCACAAATGGAGGTAAACCTCTTGGAGTTGAACCTGAATTACTTAAAATGGTGTCTGAACGCTCGGTATGTTTGAATTTTATGACTGGCCACCCGCGGTAAGCGACCGTTTTAACTTTTACAGTTGAAGCTAAAACCCTGTCTGAACATAGCCTATTTTAAAATAAGCAAAATTACATGTAGATATATTACACAGGTAACAAGGACATAGCAATACGACATTTTAATTTTCAGCTCTTTTCTTGAATTTTAACAATGAAAATGATAGTCAGTGTACATCCTTAATTTACAGTTGACTGTCATGAATACAAATGCTTCCTCCCATGCAATTGTACTCTTATTTAGAAAAAAGTGTCCTGAAATAAAGCATGATGCTTTGGATTAACATCTTGGTTAATTGTCTTGTTGGGTACATGTTAATGTGACAGAAGAAAAACCTCCTTTTGAATCCATCCATGAAGCATAACAGCTGTCTTACCATGTGGGACTCTATATATTGTCCGGGTGGAGCAAATGATGGGCCAACGTTGATTGCTGCTGCAGCACCTGTATGTGCTGGTGGTGGCACCATGCCTGATGGGTGATTAGGCATGGCTTGAAGAGCTCCCTCGGCATGTCTTTGTAGCACATTAATTGCATCATCAAGTCTCTCCTCCATACGACTTTGCTACGTATGGTAAGAATAAAAACAATTTCCACAACATGATGAACAACATTCAGGTAGGACTTCAAACAACTTTACATTAGGCGGGATTCTTTCATTAATGTTGGCAAACCTGGTACTTTGGGTTCCTTCAGTATTTTATATAAGCAAAGAGAAGAATTTTGGAGGATTTTGCATCTTACCAGTGAATGTAGATGGCTTTCAACATAAGGCCCCGGTGATGCCTGAGTGCTCGATCTTGGCCAAGGTCCTATGTAATGCATATAGGAAAAAAAACCATATAACTGTGTCTGTGAATTGATCTATAAAATGACTTAACATTTAATCAAAGTTTAAAAGAAACATTAAAACCACAGAATGTTTCAAACCTTTCCATTCAAATTTTTCATCCAATTCCTTTAGTATAAGTAAAAAAATCGAAGACAGTTGCAATGGCGAGCAAATGCCCCCCCCCCTCAGGCGCCGTCACCGACTGCACTTAATGTATAATATGAACATACAGGCACTGAAACTGACATCATTTGCAAAGGATGGTATCAAAAGATCCTGGATAACTTTCCAATTATTGGTTCTGATTTACAAATGCATACATGGATTAGCCCCAGTTTACCTCCAAGAATTGATCTACAAATACCATCTTCTTCTCCAAGAAGTTAGAACCCTCCGCTCTAGTTCAAAAGAACTTCTCACTCCATACCCAGTTATCACCAAATCATACGGTCAACGTGCCTTCCAATTCACTGCTCCCTCCCTAACTATGGAATGATTTCCCAAACCATATCAACAACTGTCTCACCTTGGATCAGTTCAAACTACATCTTAAAACTCACCTGTTTACTTTCACAAGCGCATAACTTAATTGTATTATGCGCTATATAAGAACTGTTCATTAGTATTATTATTATTAAGATCAGAAAGGTTACTCACATGCTTTAAAAACCTCTATAAAGATAATTTCAATTTGATATTACTTTTGCTAACATATTTAAACTGGAAAAAAATCTGATTTTAATCTTCTTCCAATCTTTCTGGAGCCGGTTCTGGTTCTCAAAAAAGAACCAGAAGGGCAAGTATTGGCTTCAATGCTCTATCTGCACGCCTCGTGGCCGACCGCAAACTCAAAAAGGGCTCTATTGAGCTGTTTGTCTCCGACTTGTGAAATATTGTTTTGACTAGCCGGCCTGAGTGAATGTCCCGGGGCCGCGCCTCCGCGATTGATTTCCTGTGGAGCCGAATCTCGGCTTTGGATTTTGTGCACAGAAAATAGGTAATTTTATCTGGAACCGATTCTTTTGGGCCCGGAACCGACGATAGCGGGTACCTGGTTCTTGAAAATATTGGACTCGCAGTTCCGATTTAAGCCTGTTCGGTATGACAATATTTCATGATATTTCGATTTAATTTTCATATCAGAAATCGTATCGATCTCTAAAAAAAATGGGCACATCGTGGAATTCGATATGCCAAAAAATATCGCGATATTCTTTTGTAGTACTGCTTTTGTAACCATTAAAGTCAACCTCTTTGAGTTCAAAAAGCGCCGCTAAAGTGCTCCCATGAAAAACCGTAAACCACAAATTCACTGTTACCGCATTGTACCGCTAGGTCTTACCTATTAAGGGGCGGAACCAACTGACTAACGTCACGTATATTGGATTTTGCGTCTTCCACGTGGCAGTACAAACAACACAATCCAGACCATCTTTTTAACCGATTGTTCTCAATTTCGCTCCACATACCAAGTGCCAAAACCGTAATCACGTGCGTCTAAATAACCGAAGGGAAACAAAGTCTCTGACATTTCGCAAAGAAAATACGGTGCCTGTTTTGTTTTGACGGAAATGTTTCATACAGAAAACTGCTTATTCTTAAAACGATTCGATTGAGGTGATTTTTTTCCGTAAGGAAGTTGAAGTTCAGCAAGGCAGAACAGAGACATTTCACCGTGGATACCGCACAGGTACTAGTCTCTGAAAGAAATAGTTGAACGAGAAGTTGTACAGACAAAACACCGCAAATAATTGTAGATTATGACGTTAAGAAGTAAACATGTTTCGTTTTGGCGCGCGGCGCCGCAAAGGGAGACCTCGCCGGGCCCACAAATTTCCTTTTCTCAGCCCAAACGATATCCGCATATGTACGTATACATGGTTGTTAAGCGCCCTCTACGATACTTTTATGATACGTACGCACTATATAATTATTAGTTTCCCCATGTTGCGGCGAGCAGTGCGACAGCTCAGTCGATACAGATTTGTGTTTTTACACCACGAGGTTGCGGGTTCGATTCACGGTTTTGCACCTGCATTTTTTTTTCTAACCTGAGGCTTGGGAGGATTTTTATAAAAAGGGAAATAAAGTCCGAATTTCATATATTTATATATTTTAGATTTTCTTCTCATGTTTTTAGAAAAGTATAGTCCAAAACGCCATAGCGTATTGCGGATGTCGTTTGGGACAAAAAACATTCCCCGCCGGGCCGACTCCGGCGAACTAGATCAAATTTTCCTGCACGTATTTTCCTGACTCGTTCCGTCTCTTCCGTGCTTGTGCCCGGGCACTTACACTTGCTTAGTGCCAAAACTGTGCTAAACTTATGAAATCAGTTCATATTTTGAGCAACAAAAAACGCCGAAAACCAACTGTTCAATCGTGACTTTCGTTCAAAAAAAATCATCACTAGAAATTAGACGGATCCATTAATATTTGTAAAGGGGTGCTTCACCCTCTTTTTGGAGTTAACATCGTTTTTCGAAAAAATTCTTTAGAAAATTTTTTTTTTGTGAGTTTGTTGCGATGAAGGACTTTTTCTGAACAAGGAAATATTTCGGACTCCATTAAAAAAAATATTATTAGTAATTTTGAAAAGGTGGAAATACTGGTAAATTGTTTTCAAGGAAGCACACCCTTGACTGCAAATGGTGTGGGCTGTACACGGTCTTACTATGACATGAGTGCACATGGCATCAATGCAGTGTGCATTGCGTGCTAGTGCTTCGTTCTTTCCTCAAGATATCTCTAGTTGCACATTTTTATCAAACATTTCAAGGTAATTTTTTCTATATTTGAATGTGGAATTTGTTTTTTACTGAAATTGGCAAAGTAAATGAGACTATAGTCAAATAAAATTGACGATTTTGTTCAGGACATAGGGCCTATTGGGGTTTTTTTCGCGGCAGTGGATGGTGACTTTGGTCGTGTTTTTTTGTTGTTATTCCATTGTTCCATGAATGGAAAAATGATGTCCATCACGATAATATCGCGATATCCGATATTTTTTTCACGATATGCCGATTTAAAAATAAATATCGAACAGGCTTTATTCCGGTTCCCATATTGGAACCGGTTAGAACCTGGGAACCGCCGGAACCGCGCAAGCCTAATTGTTAGATACTAAGAAGTTGCATCGGATACTTTCCAGGTTGTTATTCCACAGATTGATATTTTAACGTACATAACTGAAAACTGCGCAACAAATGTAACTGTAATGTGTACCTGTACGGTGCATCCAACAAGTCATCCCAACAAATAGGCTACCAATTAAAATAAAATTGATGAAAGCTGCAGTTTAACTACTGGTTTAACACACATATCAACCATTATTCCTACAGCCGGAAAACATTGTGTTTACAGTAAACTGACCTTCCTGGATTTCTTGTGACAAAATTGCCGACCTCGCATTTTTTTTATTGCCTCACTTGCTATTTTGAGAAAGAATATATCTTCCCTATGCAATTTGTTTGTGATACTGGTTTATTAAGGGAATAAATGTGCGCTCGAGAGGTTTTAATCACTCTGTTTAAGACTGCTTAGAATCTGGGTGCTGAGAGGGTAATTATCAGCACCCAGACTCTAAGCAGTCTTAAACAGAGTGATTAATACTGACCGAGCACATATTTATTCCCATTCATAAATACCTTTTCGGTAAAAAAAAAATCAAGTAATTCGTTCAAAAAATCCCGATTTTGATCAACAAGTTCACTCAAGCTTTTTGAAACATCCCTCTAGCAAAATAATGGAGTGTTCAGCTGGCGAAGTAAGATGTAAACAACCCTTTTATGGAGATCGACGCGCGCGTAGCACGTTCTGCGCGATGTCGCGCAGAACGCACCTGGGGCGTTGCGTTTTGAATTTAGAACTATAAAATTCGGACTCACTGGTAGTGTTGCGCATGCCTACGTGAGGATTGTGAACGTTCAACCAATGAAACGGTAAGAGGCACTGGATTTTTAGGAGTTCACATTTTATGTGACACTGGAAAAGTGTTTAAGACCAGCTAGCCATGTCTTTATCATCCGTTTAAGACCGGCCACGTGACAGGCTCTAAACCAATAGGAATGGCTAAACTGTCTGAGGTATTTATGAATAAACAATTAAACAGATTAATTAAACAGAATACCGTTAAAGGTACCCTTAAGTAAACTAAGTACATGTAAGTATAAGAGACTGCCAGACAAACATAAGAACAGTTACAAATATAACTATTTTCCCTACTTATCTGGATAATTTTCAGGGCATTACAGTAAACACAATTTTTGTTTGCCTAAGAGTACCCAAATACTTTTTGTTTTTAATTATTTCCACATAATGAATTCTACCTATTAATTGACTTAACTGCCAAACTCATCTGAAATATGTTTGTGCACATAAAAAAACAAAAAAAACCTGATAACTCGGAACTTTAGCCTACATACGACTAGTACTGAACCACCTCAAATTCAACCACTGGCTTTGTTGCTGCTATTTAAGCTGACCAATTTTAAAGTTCCATGGTACCCAGTCAGTTTCCTTTAATCTTTTTGACTAGCGGGATGCCGCGCTTCGCGCGGCACCCGCTAGATGGGTAGAGTTGACTGTTTTTTAATAATTACTGTATGCAATGAAATTTCGATAATTTTAACTCTAATAACTCCAAACAACTGTTAAGTCAAATAAAGAATCATACCCTCTGCTGCACGCGAGGCGCAAGCCTATTTGGACTCGCCATCAGTCTCGCCTAATTTGTATTTGCGTTCAACGTGCGCGTACATAACGTTTCCTGCGGAGATTGTGCGAGGGTACGGGTCCAGGACATATTGTCAATAGACCGCTTGCAGATGCGTTCGATAATCGACGCGCGAAGGCGCGCGACGCCATGTTGTGGGACAGGCGTATATCTATCCATGCACATTTTGTCCCATAACATGGCGTCGTGCACCTTTGCGCGTCAATTATCGATCGCGTCTGCAAGCGGTCTATATAGGGGAAGGG